TATCTGAGAAATTATTTCTGATTTCATTTTTTCCAGATCCTCTTTTGTTGCCAGTTCAGGGAGTCCAGGTGGTTGAGTATCATATTGTTCCATCTCGTCTCCCTTTGGGGTTGCTTTAGGTGTTCTGGAAGTCTTGCTGCCAGCAGCTCTGTTCCTAGATGCTGGGGGCCTGTCTTAGTTTTCTCATTTTTTTTTTTTCTTTTGGTACCAGGAATCGAACTCGGGACCTTGCGCTTGCGAGGCAGGCACCAAAACCACTGAGCTAAATCCCCGGCCCTGTCTTAGTTTTCTAAAAGCTTTTGAAATTTAATTTCTACTGTTGACAAAGTCATAGGTACTACTAATACAAATCACATTTTTATAACATAATTCAGTCATTGCAGATACCTCAAAATATTGTTTACTATTGCAGCATAATGGTAGTTGTTATTGAGGTTTCAATTAATATATAACTAATATACATTATTAATTTTTAAGGAATACATTATTAAGGAATTAATATTATATTACTATATAAAAAATTTGAGTTTTTAGAAAAACATTTTAGTACCTATTTCAAAATCATTGGTAGCCTTTGTAATTCTGTGTATTTCATGTACCCATTCAAAAACATTATTTAGAGAATCTTATGTAATTCCTCATGTATTTTGGTCTGCCTATAATGTTTTTCTTTTTCTCCTTTTGTAGCATCAGCCACTATGTGATTGTAATGTCCATGGCCATCTTCCTGGTGTTTCTCAATGGTCTGGCACAGCTGCTCACAACTAAGAAGGTCAAACTATGTGGCAGACCCAAAAGCCACCTCATATAATGTTGCTGAATTTGTCAACCAGCATCTGGATCCTGTTTATCATTCTCTTTATAAACTAAAATCTCATCAAAGATTCAATAAGAAGATGGATATGGATGTATAGGATATTCTACTTCTGTAAAATATTATGTTTGGAATTCTGGATTTGCAGGTTATCTTGGATAAAGGAGCTACCTTTTTCTTTGAGGTTTTTTTTTTATTTACTCTGTTGTAGTGATTATTTCTATGGGAAAGCATAGTAAAGCACTCTCCATTTTCATTCTTTTTCTTTAGCTGGCAGCTCTTCTCAGTGATATTCAAAGTTCCTGTATCAATGTGATCATGGTACAGCTTCCCATATACTCAAAGGAAAACATCCATCTATGGGGATAGTATTGATGGCATCCAAAATCATTGCTGTGGTTGAATTTAAATGACATCATAACGTGGCACCATAAGTATTTATCAGCTCTCAGCACTGATTTTGTAGTAGTTCTAACTACTCAGTAATATCACTAATAAGGCAGGGTATATTATTTCACATTTACTGAAGCTTCTGCAGAAAAATGTTTGCAGTGTTTTTCATTTTTCTTCAGAATGCAGTAGCACTATCTTAGGCTTCTTAATGCTATTTCCAGAGTTTTCATAGTCAACTAGTTAGATACAGGTTTAACCTTCACTCCTTCCTCCCCTCATTTCTGTATTATAGAATTTCAAGGGATAAAAAAGTGAGCAAAATGCTTAGTATGTGTGTCTTGTCTAAACAAAAAGTTTTAGTTGTAGACTCACTATCTGTTATACTTATAGGTTTTCTTCATGTATTGTTTCAATATGATGCTCTGAAGCAGTGGTTAAAACTTCCTGACATTATCCTAAGATTCATGTTAAAAATGCTACTCTTGGGCCGGGGATTTAGCTCAGTGGCATAGCACCTGCCTGGCAAGTGCAAGGTCCTGAGTTCAATCCCAGGTACACAAAAAAAATGCTACTCTTGTGGTTATGAGATTCTAGTCATCAGCCTAAAGTCATCTCATTAAATTTAGATTTCCCTTTGTAAATTAAGTCCAATGGACTAAATATTTTAAGACTAACCTTTATTTGGAATATCCATACAGTGACCTTTACATATCACTGTAGAGGTGGCCTTTTGCCCATGGTATGCCAGAAGTGTTTGGCTGATGCTAAGCTTTGCTGGTATGTATCCCATTTTTTAAAAAAATTTGCTTTTGAATTAAGTTATAGCATTACTAATTTGCACTAATGACTAGAAAGCCCTCTACAGATTAGATTACTAGATATTTCAAATTTGCAAGTGATTAAATAAATACAATTTAGAAGATCAAAATGCAGTTTGGCAAAATATATTTTCTTAATTTTTATTTATGATGATCTATAGTTTTAATATATTTGTGATAATACTTCATATACAGCAGTGAAAGCATTCTGGTATGTTAAAAGAGAACTACTTATGTTAACATAAGACCTCATGATTCAGTCTATAATATAAAATCTAGGTAGACAATTAAGAGGCTACTGTGTTGGCAGAAAGAGAATCCATGAGCTTTCATATAATCTTGTGATTTTTCATCAGTTTTTCCACATATCAGAGAAGCCTGATTACTATATAAAAAAATTATCACTTAACTCTTTATATCTAATTTTGCCTTTTGTCTTTCCCTAGATTTTTATGCAAAGTAATTGATGGATATTTTATTACAGTGTTGTAAGAGGTGCTCAGTGCCTTATGTTTATTGAGTTCTTCAGAGCATTTTTATTTTTTCCTTTTTTTCCTCTTAATGCTACCTTTTGGGTTCATTGTGAGTTTACAGAACTAGAAAGTGCTCCTGCAGCCATGCACTTTATGCAGGCCCCCACACTCACATTCACTTAGGAATGGGCCTTTTCTATTCTATAGTTTCTCAACAATCTTAATGTGTTTTGAAGCATGTATTTTTATATTGAATAACAGAAAAAAGAAATGAGATTTAGGCAAAATATATTTTTTTCCATCCTATATATACCATACTAGATTTCTTTTATGAATCAAAATTTTAGACATTTGCTAATTTTTTTTTTTCAGGTCCTGGGAATCAAACTTAGGACCTTGTGCTTGCCAGGCAGGTGCAGCGCCACTGAGTCACATTCCCCACCGAACATTTGCTAATTAACATTGTTTAAGTTAAGAATTTCTATAAGAATTAAAGTGAGCATATCAAATTGAGAAAGTACTGAACTACAGAACAGGCATGCTGTGTCATATGCACTATGAATAAATTTGGGGGAAACATTAAGGCTTTAGGAAATGAACTTCAGCCTGTCCATAATTTACTCATAAAATAATTCTTATTATTATATTAGTGTGCAATACTGAGAACACAAAAAGCTTTTTTTAAGTTTGTCAGAAAATGTTATAAGTGGTAGTGTAATTTTAAAATAATGTCCTCAAAATTATTTATTAATGAGGCCACTTGATAAAACCATGTTTCCCCAAAAGAAGGAAGTAACTGGAAAATAAGCGCTAGTTGTTACTGTGATGATGGCCAGTGTCATGCAGAAAATTATACCTCAGGACTCTCTTGCTGAGTGGCTATGCTATAATGGCAGATAAGACAAGGTGCTGACATTTTTGATCTCCAGTTTTCAAGGTTGATTATTTTTTGGATAAGTCTTATTTTCAGGGAAACAGAAGTATTCATTTAGTTATAATATTATTTCTCATTAAAAACTCATTCCAAATTTTGGCCAGTTCAGACATTAGGAACATGTATGTCAAGTCCCCTCCTGCACTATCATCTTTATACAGTACACTTGTTGGGAGGGGGTTTGTGGTTGGTTTTTTGAGACAGGGTCTTGCTGTGTAGCCCAGGCTGACCTTGACCTCAGTATGTAGTCCAGGTTGGCCTCGAACTTGGCATGATCCTCCTGCCTCAGCCTCCCCTGGGATTACAGGTATGCACCACCATACTTGGCCAGTACGCTGTTTTAGTAGACTAAAGACTCTTTTGCTCCTCCTTTTGACATATTACTTTGCTATTCAAAGTATGATTTCTAATGACAGAGGAATGAAGAGGATTGCATAGTATAGTCTCTAGAGACAGGCAGGAGCTGCTGTGGGGAAGCAGAGGAGCTCCATCTACACATTAGGTGTCATCATTTCAGGGGGCTGAAGACAATGACACTAAATCAACTTGCTCATTTGGAAAGGACCATTTTAGACTAGTTATGTAGACTCCTTTAAAAGACCAGAGATAGCTTGTTAATTTCTCTCCTTTTCTATGTCGACAGTCCCCTCATCCTCTTTAAAATGTTCTAAAGCATTGTGATTGTTATACTCAGTACTCTCAATACTATGGTAATGTCATTGTAGCATTTTGCTATTTATGCATTAGCATGATTTATAAAATAATGAAAGGACGGGTTTTTATACTTAATATTCATTCTATAATGAAATAAAAGCATTTTGAGATGTGTTGCTTATTTCCTTTAATGCACTAAAATGGATTACAGTTGTTGATCAGTTCACCATTAGAATTGCAGTATTTATGTGCCGAAGAGCAGCATTTCTGAAAAAAATGTATATATCTCTTAGAGTATTAGTTCCATAGTATACAAATAATGTCAGTGAGTATTCTTCAAAGCTGTCAGAGCCATCAAAAACAAGGAAAGGCTAAGAAATTGTCACAATCAAAAGGAACCTATCAAGACATGACTAATAAATGTAATGTGTCATTTTGAATGGGATCTTAAAACAAAAAAGACATTAAGTAAAAACTAAGGAAATGTGAATTCAGTAGTATGGACTTAGTTAATAAAATATTAATATTGGTTCATTGATTTTGAAAAATGTACCTTACTAATTTAAGTTGTTAAAAATAGGAGAAACTGGGTAAGATAGTATGTGGGAACTTTATACCATTCTTGCAAATTTTCTATAAAACTATTCTAAAATAAAAAGATTATTTGGTTTTAATTTTTTCTCTGCACAAATAATTTTACAGAAATGCATTAGTGGAATAAGTAAGCAAGGTATAGAAGGTGGTTTTTGCATTTCTTGGTTTTTCTGTTACTTCTCTTTTCCTTTGTTTTCTCTCTGCACCTCTGTTCATGTCACTCTGCTCATATCTTTTAGCCATTTGAGTATGAGTTCATCATGTGGACTGAAGTGTTTTCTTCATGAATAGTTTCCGTCATTTAGTAAACTCCTATAAATACAGTGTGTGTGGTGGGCAGCTGCACCCCTGCTCAACATTCTTGAGACAGCTGTGCCTCCATTGCTACCCTTATATCTCGGGCAGGAGTTAAACCAGTTTTGACTCTTTTCTTACTGTTAGACAAAATGGCCGCAGGGAGGTCTGGTAATCAAAATGGCGCCCACTTCTTGAAAACAGATCGATTCCTCTCCAGGAAAGTGGAACTGAACTCGCCAACCCCACCCCCACCCCCACCCCGCTACTCATCCTCCAATAAGTTTAAACTCTGACACCTACCCCAGCAATACAACTAATCCTCAACTCCCACGATGCTCTCCCAACCACACAACCCTTTATAAACCTCACCCAGTTAGTCTCTTGCTCTTTCTCTCCATTGTTCAAGAAAGCTGGGCAGCTCGTTCCCCCCAGTAAAGCCCTGCCTCGGGTGCTCCTATTTCGGCTCAAATTCTTTAACTAACTGCAGTTGAGTAGTGTATGGGATGCACGTCTGACCCAAACTTCAGTCCAATTTGAGTTATTTACAAGATTTTCAAGTAGAACTGAGAAAATTTCTAAGATACAATGTTCAAGAGTTGCTGGTGACCATGTTTAGTTGAAATATTTCAATAAGTAATCTCTTCCAACAGCTCATCCTCAAAAAAATGGGTTTATTCCATTGATATTTCTGAAAATATGATGGGTTATGACAAGTTGAAAGCTCTATTTAGAATGTTTTATTTTGTGTATGCTTTTTTGGTTTTATGCTTTCTAAGTTAGAACTGATGGGACAGAATAATTCCATGAAAACTAGTTTAGACAAGTCCTGTTCATAGCCCTGCTTTCCTGCCTAATAGTACGATGTAGCCACACTATTTTGATACTAGTGAAAATAGCAATTCAAAATCTTAGCTTTATATAACCTCCATCTCCAGGAAATGCAAAAGGAGTGCTTTCATGTCATTCCTCCAAAACAAAGCAAAAACTCTCCTGGGTGCTACTAGATAAACACAAGCATGAATAATCATTGCGGAGAGCCCATTATATGCCAAGCCCTTTGGCAGGTGCTTTACATTCATTATATCACCTAATTGAATCATTGCAATCATTTGTGCTAGGCCAGACCTCTGGGAGCCTAGCCTGGTTTGGATTCCTGGCTATTGAGAAAAACGTCTTGGATTCTGCTCAAGACTCTTTTTTACTTTAGCAAAAGTAGCATAAGGACAGGGAAAGTAGTAATGTGAAAAAATGTACAGGTGTTTTTGACCCCCAAGAGGTGTCTTTGGCTGACTAATTTACTAATTTTTTTTTTTTTTTTTTTGGTACTGGGGATCGAACTCAGATCCTTGAGTTTGTGAGGCAGGCACTGGAACCACTGAGCTAAATCCCCAGCCCTTAATTTACTAATTTCTTATCTTTGCATCTTTTCAGATTATATATTTGAAATATAGAATACACTTGATCTTAGCCAAAAGGCCGAGAAGCGATTGAAATGTAGAATAAGTCATACAGTTCTAATTATACTGCCTTTATTGGAAGCGCAAACAATTTTAGCATTTAAATGTTTTCTACAACTTACCATTTGTTGTCTGAATGACTGGCTAATAGTTGGAGAGATTTTAAGCACAGATCACATTTCAAGACAATGTTCATGTGGGCAAAAAAATTTACTAGATACAGAAAACTATTAACTGGGCTTTTTAGTAATTCATTAGTAGGTTGAATGGCTTTTAAATGTTTGTCATTTCATCTGCTGGCCTCCAAACCTTGAACCTGCTCCTCTAAGACTTTTCTATGTGATACATATTCAACCTGACATATTCAAAGACATATTCAACCTGATTCTTGCCCTGAAGAAATGTCTGATCTAAATTGGGAGACAAAAGTCTGTGTTCCTCGGTTATGGACATATTCCAGAATCTCAGACCTGTCTGGGTTCTGCCTCTTATTAGCATGTGACTTCAGGCAAGCCTCTGAGTCTGAACTGACTTATTTGTAAAACGGTAATGATACTGCCTGCCTCACAGTATGTTTTGGTCTCATTTCACTTATGACGGATTAAAACATTAAATATACAAAATTACTTGGGCACAGGGCTTTATATCCTGATAAGATTTGTTCCTTAGTGCTTTGCATACTTAAAATTTATGTATAGGTTATAGTCGTTAAGTAAAGGCAGCTTATGATACCTGCCCTGTAACAATGCATGCAGTTAATGCTTGACACTCAAAGAGAGAAAACTCAGGAAAGCTGGTGTCCCGATAGATACAGAGACACATCTTGAGAAAATGATTGAAATCAGCGTAGTCCCTCATTGAGATACTTACAAACAACTGAGAAAACAAGATGAATTTTTAGAATTCAATTTATATTTAGAAGGATTTTATTCCATTAGTTAGACATTTACAGAAGTTCATTATTGATGAGGTTGTACTATATGCCAGGAACTTTGCTAAGTACTTTAGAAGAATTAGTTAATCTAACTTTTTTTACTCACATTTCATAGAAGAGGAAACGGACTTAGGTTAACTTACACATCTCAAATGGTCAAGAAGTGGTAGAATTTCAGGTTTTAAATAGGTCAGTATAAGGCAACCTTTAAAGTCATCCTCTTTCTTCTCAATGTAACTTCCCAAAGTAATTTTATGCACACAAGTCAGAAGAAATGTAGAAATGTTATTTTGGTTGCTCAGCATTTAGTCCTGCTTCTTACTTTGTTTTTATTTTTTTGTTTGGGTTTTTTTGGTACCGAGTATCAAACTTTGGTCCTTGCACCTGTGCAGCAGGTGGCAAAACCACTGAGCTAAATCCCCGGCCCCTGCTTATTTTGGATGGTGTTCCATGATGGGGTACAGTGCTGTTCTATTACGAGATGAAAGTGGCCCCCACACTTCTGCCACCAGAAGCTCAGTTCAGAGTGGACACTAGAAATGGCATCAATGTGGCATCAATGGTCACGCTTCAGTGATGTTCTCTGTGGCTCCCCTTATCTGTAGTCTCTGCAGCCCAGCTTTTCATGGTCTCCAGCCTTATTACTTTACAAATCATTCATGTCCTAAAATTTTCTCTGCATCTCACATACTTAAAACCAAGAACTTTAATTGATGTGTACTTTGAACGTGTTGGTAAATGTATGTTATCAGTATTCAGTGTGTTTTCTATAGCTTCAAACAATTTAGTAAATATTTGTATAGTCCTTATTATGTGCCAGGCATTGTTTTAAATTTAAAAATACTATTTTATATAACTCTCATAACCCTGTGATACACATATTATACCACTTTACAGATAGGAAAACTGAAATAAACAATAATTGTAAACATTTGCCCAAGAGTTGAGCTAGTAAAGAGTTTACATTTTGAAAGGGTAGTTTTCCCCAAACATCCTACCATAGTATCTACAGAGGAGTATTTGTAGACTGTTTCTGAATATGAATGACATATACCTATGGAGGTAGTGTAAAGACTAGATGTTCTTTCCTCATATATAGTACTCGAGTGTACCCAGTAAAAGGAGAAAAGGGTGCCTTTGAAATTTCCTCCATGTGTGCAGTTGGCTAGGCGCATGCTTGCCCCAGATTCTTAGCATTTACTCTGAGGCATATGCCACCTCTTTTCCAAGTGGTATATGCAGCACAGAATGAAGTTTGGGTTTTTTTCACTTTTATTTTTTTATTTTTTTATTTTTTTTAACATTTTCATATTTTAT